TGTTTTTCAGTTTCATCCATATGGCAGCATGACACTTGGGTTCCTTCCACCAGTGGCTCTTGTGAACAGCACTGCCATGAATGTGGGCGCAGAGTATCTACTTGAGCCTTTGTTTCCAATTCTCCAGGGTCTATACGTGGAGGGCCTATTTTTTTGCTTGTTTGTTTTTCTGAGTCAGGGTCTCACTCTGTCACCCAGGCTGGTGTGCAGTGGCATGATCTTGGCTCACCACAGCCTCAACCTCCTGGGTTCAAGCGATCCTCCTGCCTTGGCCTCCAAAGTCCTGGGATTACACATGTCCAGCCTCCTATTTCACAGTCAGAATTGTTCTTAAGCCACCTCCATCACCCGAGACTTCTTAACTATCTCTCACTTGAGGCACATGCTGTATGCCCATCCTGGCATGGCTGGTCCCACTTTGGGGTGCAAATGGCCATCTCTCTGTGGGGGCGCCTGCCTGTGCAGTTCTCCCTCTTCTTGCTCCTTCTGTTGGATCTGCTTCCTAGTGTTTGTCACACTCTGCAGTTAGTGCTTGGCTCTCTTGGTAGCTTGGTGGTTTTCTCTGCACCTCCCCATGGAGACTCCATGTAGTCCCCTCAGTTTGCCCTCCTGGCTGTGGAGTCCCCATGACCATGTGTTCTGGCCCCTCAGTGCATGCCAGCTGGAAGAATGAATGCACCTGTGGGGCTTTCTCAGCCATGGCCCCCTGGCCGCTTCCCATGGCTCAGACCCCACAGGAGGGTTCCACCCGGACTCTCAGAACCTGAGCACCATTGACCCTGGGGGTGCAGGCAGAGGAAGGGGCTCACGTGCTGGCCAGGAGAACAAGGCTGGCGTGCAGGAGACAGAGAGTCAGGGGAGCACAAAAGGACTCTGGGCCGCAGGAGTAGGGAGCTGGCACCGGCTCTGCCCAAGATCCTGGTGGCTCCTGGCTGCCTAGAGCTGGCCCCAGGATTCAGATGAATGAGAGGGATTCATCGGGCATCCAAGGCACCCCTGCCCCACCCCCATCCACCCCCACCCTCTGGCCTAAGCTTTGGTCCCAAGAAGAGAGTCCTTGGGAGTCAGCCCTTGCCCATTCGAGAGGAAACGTCCAGAAAGAGAGTCCCACAGAAATGAACCGCCAGGTTCATGATGTCTGCAAATTCCCAGCCCCTGGAGACACAGCTTCCGTAGGATCAGAAGAGACCAGTGTCCCAGCAGGCTCTGTGGCCACCCAGGAGGAAGCAGAAGATCTTTTGCCCATCCTCAACCTGTCCTGGACCATGCCCAAGGCCCTGCGGAGGGGCCCACTTGGAAGTCGCAGCCCGGCAGCTCCTGGAGGAGAACAGGGAGGTCCAGGGAAGGCTCGGGCCCCGGCACTGGAGAAGGAGTGGGGGCTCCAGAGGGACTAAAGACGTCAGAAGCCACTGGAGCCCCCCCCAGCTCGTGGCCCGTTCTCCCCATCCCCACCCACAGCCAGCGCTTGGGCGGGGCCTCTGGATCCAGCCCGGAGACCTGCCATGTGACCTGGGCGGCTCAGGCCTTTCCCAAAGCATCCCTCATCCTAGGCAAAGTGAACTCACAGGTCCATCCAGATTCACCCTGGGGCCCAACTTCCTCTTCCCTCCCGGGCTCCACCCTGCACAGCCACCCAGAGGAGCCTCAGAGGGAGGGAGCCAGAGGCCGCCTCGCCCTGATCCCCCAGCCCCACCACCCCGGCCACAGGGAAGGGGGTCCAGCCAGGGGAGAAAGGGGCCATCAGCCCCAGCCACCTCAGTCCCATCCCCCGGGGGAAGGCAGGGGTCAGTAGCAGAGCCCCAGCTGCACTCTGAGGATCTCCAGATCCTGTCTGGACCTTACCCCTGAGGCCGTGTTTACCAACCCAAGAAGCTGGTGGTGTCTCCCTGGGGGAGGCAGGGAGCCACGCTTCCCCATCACTCCCTGCAAAGGAGGATCATGACTCCTCAGGGCTGGGCCTGTGGTGAGGGGCTGTGAAGGAAGCGTTGATCCAGTGAGGGTGGCTGGCACTTCCTGGGTCTTCTCCAATGTACTCTCGGGCTAGTAGAGAGCCTGGGTCTAGGTGCCCACCCCTCTTCCCTGCGACCAACTCTGAGGGCCCTTGGGCCAGGGTCACTAGGGGTTTCCATGCCAGCTGTGTACACAGCTCAGAGTGGAGAACTACCACCCAGATCCCCTACCTGTCCCTGAGTGGGTTAGGTCCTAGGGGCCCCCAGCCAGACCACCTGTATCCCAAGGTCTGGGGCTGGGTGAGGGCCCACGAGGGAGAAGCAGCCTCCTTACTCCCTGGCTTCTTCCATGACCTCCAGAACTGTGAGGACCTCCACCCAGCCACCCATCCCAGCCTGGCTGGGACGGGGGGGGGGGTCAGGACGGGGGGGGGGGGTCAGGATTGGAGAAGCCATCCCCAGTCCCTTCTGCACTGGGCGGAGCAGGAAGAGGATAATTGAATCAGCACTTCTCGACTCATCTGGAACATTCCGACATGGAAAACCCACGGAGCAGCTGAGGAAGCAATTTAGGAACTTTAATTAAAGACTGATGACTCTGCCAGGGAGCCCCTCCCCCAATGCAGCCTGTAGGCCCCACATCTGCCCTCCGTGTGTTCTGAGGCACAGCTGGGCACCTTGCACCGGTCTGAGTTTCCACTCCAGGGGAAGCAGAACACACCAGCCCGCCCTTTCTCCTGGCTGCTTCCAGAGTCTGCACGCCCCGCCCCCAAGTCCTAGGCCCAGGCCCCAAAGCCAAGCACATCAGTGCCCCCTCTCTCCAGCCCCCTGCAGCTCTGCATTCAAGAAGGCTACAGGAGGGGAAAGTGGGTCATCCTGGTGGGCTCAGGAAAGGAGCTCTAAATGTTGGGAGGGCAGTAGGAGGGCGGCTGCCCCATGTCCAAAGGCTGTCTCCACCTCAGTCTGTACCTTCTGTAGGGAAAGGCATTCCGGGCAAAGGGAACGGCATGCACAAAGGCCATGAGGCTGGAAAGAGCATGACAGATGGACGGAGCTGGCAGGGACCAGGGTGGCAGGAGTACAGGAGCGAGGGGAACACTCAGGACTGGGGGACCAAGACTTGGAGAGCCTTCACAGTTGTGACCAGGCATCCCAGAAGCGGTGGGGGTGGGGGTGAGGACTGGAGCACTTTAAAACAACAGGCTCTGGTTGACTCTGAAGACATCCCTCTGGTCTCCGTTGGGAGAGCTCACTGCAGGGCAGGTGCTGGGGTGACTGTGAGCAGACCACGGGGGACAAGTGCTCACCACCCAGCAGGTCTTAAGGTGAGTCTGTCCCCTCCCACAAGGCTACGGTCAGCAGGGCCAGCCTTTCCCCTGCACTCACATCTGAGGTCCGAGGTGGGGAGGTGGCTGTGCACACCTCTCAACCACATCTGGGCCCGTATCTCCATACCACATTGCCACAGCAGTCACTCTGTGGGTGCTGGGAGGGAAGCCCCCAACAGCCCCCAGCCCTGCCCCTGGTCTGGCAACAGTGTGGCCCATGCGAGTAGCTGCAGAGGCGAGTGTCCACTGGGCCCAGAAACTTGCCAGAACAAGGGCAGTTCTCCAGACAGCTCCTCCCCATCTCCGCCCCCCCGCCCCGTCCCTCAACTCATCCACACTACTGACCGTGCCATGTGACAAAGAGAGTGGCCGTGGTGACTGGTGGGGCCACCAGCTCACAGTGGACCGTGACAGTCAGTCAGAGAAGGCGCAGAGTTTGACAGACTGCCCCTCCCCTGCAAATCCTTCCTCCCTGTCCATGCCCCTGGGTCCCAGGACAGGGAGTGACTCCAAGTAGCTCATAAGTAGAAAGGTCACATCAGGGCCAAGGATGGACTGTGAGACCCAAGGAACAGCCTGGGGTGCAGAGACTTTGCCCAGGCCCTGTGACAGGTCCGGGGCAACCCAGGCAAGCTGGAGCCCCGGGGGTCATTGTCAGGACAGCTGGTGGGCACCTGGCAGACAGCACGTGGCCAGCAGCAGGTGAGAGTCATTACTGAGGGGCACTTAAAGTTCCTGGGGGGAGAAGGAGTGAACAGGGCACCCCAGCCTGCTTGAGCCTGGCTTGATTTGTTACAAGCCGGCAGCTGGTCTGCAGATGGCCATTGGGTCCAGCCCTGTCCCATGGGGAGGACACAAGACAAACACAGCAAAACTGGGTCAGCACTGGGCCTGCGGGAGTGGGTGGGGCCTGGACAGTTGGGGTGGTGGGTGTCTGGCGCCCGAGTAGGAGGGGTTCCGCTGGAACAGCTTAGAGGCTGTTAGACACCACCGCTCCGCCTCCCCCACACACACACAGAACACTCACTCTCTCACTCAGGCAATTCTGTGAGGTTTCCAGAAGGCAGTGTCCACTGGGTACTAGGACAAGCAATGAGTTGAGGTCGTGGGTGCAGCACACAGTTGGACAGACCTGACTTTAATCTTGCCCCAGTACTCGAGGGAGAAAACTGGAGCCTCCGTTTTCTCATCCTAAACATTGAAGACAACCTGCTCCCCCTCCCAGGACTGAGAAGAGAACGCAAAGCCGGGCACAGTGGCTCACACCTATAATCTCAGCACTTTGAGAGGCCAAGGTGAGAGGAATGCCTGAGCCCAGGGGTTCAAGACCAGCCTGGACAACTTGGCAAGACCTCATCTCTACAATAAATTTTTTTTTAATTAGCTGGGCACGGTAGTACACATATGTAGTTCCAGCTACTTGGTAGGCTGAGGCGGAAGGATCACCTGAGCCCAGCAGGTCAAGGCTGTGGTGACCGTGAGCAGTGTGCCACTACACTCCAGCCTGGGCAACAGAGTGATACTCCGGCTCAACAAAAAAAAAAGAGAGGGCCCAAGGGTGGCCCAGAGCTACCAGGGCTAAGCTGTGTGGCACTGGGCAGGTCCCAAGCCTCTGGGAGCTTCACAGGCTGAACACCTCCAAGCATCAGCGCCTGGTGAAGTTAGCTGGCGTGATGATCACATCCCTGGGTGGTGGCCCCTCTACCCTCCAACCTCAAGGTCGTGTGGGAAGTTACGGATCCAAACTTTATTTCTTAAATATTCCTCCCTACCCCGCATGTGTGTGCAGCCTGCTCTGGCCGGGCGAGCAGACATAAATTAAGGAACTGCGCTCCCCCAGGCAGGGCTGGCTGGACCATGCTCAGTCCCAGCCGAAGTCCTGGCCAGTCATCTGGTAGAACTTGCGGTTGAAGGGCCGGTAGAAGTCCTGCAGGCGCTGGACCACGGCCTGGGGCACGCGTGGGTGGGGCCGGCCCTTGGATTTGCCCAGGCAACGGGGGCGGCTGCTGCCCTGGGCCTTCTTGAGGCAGGGGAAGCCTTTGGTGGCGTTGAAGTAGAAATGTTTGTCCGTGACAACCCGTTTAAGGCCCAGGAAGTCCTGCACGCGGCCGACCTCTCCGGCCGGGTCGCTGACCAGGCGCTCGCCACTGACGAACAGAAAATGGGACAGGGGGAAGTAGCGCAGCCAGTTGTCCAGGTGCTGGGCGTACAGGCCGATGCGCACGGCGCTCCAGGCCGTGTCCACGGGGCCCAGGCCGTGGCGGAAGACCAGGGCATGGAAGCTGGGCAGGCCTGGGGTCTTGGAGAGTGTCTGGGCATAGTCGGAGATGGCGCGGGTCACGGGGTTCCGCACCACCACGATCAGCTTCGTGTCTGGGGACATGCCGTGGATGCGGCGAGGGGCCTCCCGTGTCACAAAGTAGCTGGGGGTCTTCTCCATGGTGATCTGCCCGTCCAGGGTGCGGGGCATCAGGCTCCTGCGGAGAGGCGGCCTGAGTGGGCGCTGGACCCCCAGCCTCCCCCACTCCAGACGGCCCCCAGGGGTGCTCAGGTCAGCAGGGTGGGCAAGGCTTCCTCCCGCCAGGCTCACCCCCTCCGAAGGTGCTGGATGGGCAGCCTGGAGTGCGGGCTGCAGTGGGCAACTGTTCTTCGGGACTGCCCTGTCTGCTGCTGCTCCCAGATTAACAGAGTGATGGTCCCAGGGGTGCAGGGGATGGGGGGATGCTCTCCACTGGCTGTTTATCACCCCTGCACAGCCTCTGCCATCCCTCATTCCGACTGCCAGCCCCCTCGAGTCCTGGCAGTCCCCACGCACCAGACCCACCCCTCCCAGAGCTGGACTGCTGCCCCACCCCAGAGTAAGCACCCCTGAGGCCCGCCCACCTAGACCTGCCACCCCACAGGCCTCTGAGCCATAATCACTCATGGTGGTCCTTTCACTCAGTGGCTGACAGTGTCCCCTAAACTAGGCCATCAATTTTTTTTTGAGTTGGACTCTCACTCTGTCACCCAGACTAGAGTGCAGTGGCTGCTCCCGGCCACCGAAGCCTCGACCTGCTGGGCTCTGGCGATCCTTCCGTCTCAGCCTTCCAAGTAGCTGGAACTACAGGCGCGCGCTACCATGCCTGACTGATTTTTTGACTTATTGTAGAGATGAGGTCTCGCCAAGTTGCCCAGGTGGGTCTCGAATCTGTGGGCTCAGGCACTCCACTCACCTCAGCCTCCCAAGGCGCGGGATTACAGGCTGAGCCACCGAGCCCAGCTGGCCATCAATTATCGTCAAGTGTCTCCAACAAGAGTAACCACACGGACTCATGTTCTCTCTCGTGCTCTCTAGCTCTCGCTCTCTCTCTCTCTCTCTCTCTCTCCCCCTCCCTCCCTGAATTTATTTATCTGGGTCAGTGTCTCACTCTGTCACCTAGGCTGGAGTGCAATGGCATGATCATAGCTCACTACAGCCTCCTGGGTTCAAGCAATCCTCCCACTTCAGCCTCTCAAGTAGCTGGGACTACAAGCAGGCTAATTTTGTAATATTTCTGGTACAGATGGGGGTCTCACTATATTGCCCAGGCTCCTCTCCTGAGTTTAATGGCATCCATCTCCCTATCTTTATCTGTAGCCCTGCTAGTTCTCATCAACCTACGCCCAGACTTATAATGCCAAAAACCACCAGCAGAGCCCAGCACAGTTGAAAAAAGTCAGCGAAGTGACTGCACCGCCTAAGGTCCTTTCCTGCGCTCCTGGGTCTCTGGGCCCTTCCACATCTTGCAGAGTTCCCATGGTGCCAGCTAAGGATGTGGCATTTCCAAGATTCCTCTCATTCTGGCCTGGGTAAGGAGGGCATGGACCCGATCCCGAGATCCAGGGGGAGCTGACTGACCACAGCCCCTCAACTGCCCCAAGTCTGGGGAAGCCCATCCTAAGCGCCCAGCCTAGGCAGGCCCAGACACCCGCAGTAGTGTCACGAGGCAGCACCTGCCAGCCAGGTAATGCAGGGCAAGGTTGGGCAGGCTAGGGCAGGGTGAGTCAGCTGAGCAAACAGCTCCGAGGGAGGGGTGGGTGAGGGCTGGGAACTAGGTCAACAGAGGTTGAGCTCTGGGACCTGTGCTAGGGAGGGGCCAGCCCTGCCCAGCCATGCCTAGCCCTGCCCTGTCCTGCCTCCTATCTTCTGAGAGGGCTTCTCCCACCCTGGCTGACAGCCCCCAGGACTAGCCCCAGCTGGGTGGTTTCCCTAAGTGACTTCCAGACTCAAGTACCTGGGAGGCAGGGTCTGAGTCTCCTCTTCTGCTCAGACCTCCCAAGGAAACCAAAGCCAGGCTCGACACACATGACAGAGCCATGCGCTGGGGTGCTTGACTTGGAGGGTGCTGGCAGAGGGACAGGAGGATGTGTGTGGGGGTGGCCACAGGCAATAGCCCAAGTTCCCTGACACCACCCATCAGCAAGACAGAGCTGGGATGAGCTGCACGGGAGCCCTGGACAGAGCTGGTCTATGGAATTCACGGGGGAAAACTCTGCTCCCTCCATCTTGGTGACAGAGTGAGCTAGAACTGCTGCTCACCCCACCCACTGCCACATTTCATGAGCAGGCACACTGAGGCTCAGAGAGGGTGCCCAGCTTTGGCCCTCCCACACCTGCAGTGGCAGCAGGGGCTTGCAGCACTGCCACTGTCCAGCATACCTAGAAGGGGGCTTCTGCTCAGCTTTTGCTCCCAGAGCACCTGCACTCTGCCAAATCTCCTATGTGGGAGCAGCACTCTGTCATCCCCTGGGATGAGTTCAGAGGCCTTCAGTGGCGGCAGCACCAAAGTCTGAGGCTCAGGCCTGCAGCCGGGCATGGCCAGCTCAGGGGGTCCCCACCCCGGAGAGGGGAGCCATAGGAGGAGGATTCTCCCCCCACTGGACCTCACTGCAGAGACACGCAGAGATGCCGGGCTGGGGCTGGGAGGGGACAGACTGCCCAGAAGTCACTGCCCCCTTCTGCCCCCTCCACAGGGAAGGAAGCTAGTTTCAGCACCCTCCCCTCCCACCTTTGACACACCCTGACCCCAGACCCACCCGCTCTCCTTTCCCAGGCTGGACGCTTCTGACTCTGGACATCTCCCCTCCGTGCTTGCTGGAGGTGACTTGCATGGAAGCACAGTGTTAGCCCCCCAGGCCTTCTCTCCAAGGACCCCGGAGAGCTGTGAGCGGGGAGGAGCTCCCGGCCCCACTTCTGTGAACAAGGGTGGGCTCACTGAGGGGGCAACAAGGACTCTCAAGATCTGAGAACTCTGAGGTCTGAGAGCTCTGGGACCCATGACTGGCCCTCCTCAGGCCTCAGAGCCGTCCCAGCCCGGGCATGGAGGGAGGGCATGAGGAGGGGGAGGTGGGAGATTGAGAGGAGCAGGGCTCCAACTCCCATGCCACAGACATCTGACAAGCGGTTCCCCATGGAGCCCACCCTCCCCGTGGAGCCCACCTCATCTGGTCTGCATTTCCCTGCGGCTTCCATCCAGCCCTGGCCGTGACTCCTTCCTCCGTCTCAGTCCCACCCCTGCATTCCACGCCTCACTGGGCCCAGGGGAAGCCCAATGCCAAAAGTGTGGAGGGGACAGCATCTCAGCCACAGGAGGCCCTCCCCAGGACTCATGGGAGGAGGGGAAGCTCCTCAGAAGCCAGGCTCCCTAGCCAGGCTCGGTGGCTCAGCCTGTCATCCTGTGCTTTTGGGAGGCTGAGGTGAGCGGATTGCCTGAACCCGCGGGTTCGAGATCCGCCTGGGTAGCGAAACCTCATCTCTACAATAAATCAAAAAATCAGCCGGGCATGGTAGCGCACACCTGTAGTTCCGGCTACTTGGAAGGCTGAGGTGGAAGGATCCCGGAGCCCAGTAGGTCGAGGCTGCGGTGGCCGGGAGCAGCCACTGCACTCCAGTCTGGGTGACAGAGTGAGACTTCAACTCAAAAAAAAAAAAAGAAGCCAGGCTCCCACCTCCAACACACTCAGACCTCCCGACATCCACTGCTCCTGGACCCGGGAAGCAGGGGGGTTCCCCGGCCTGCACCCGCCTTGCATCCTCTTGCTTTTCCAAGATATTAGGGTCACAGTATAGTCCCCCATCTGCCCCCAGACCAAGACCTTGGGTGTCTGTATGACGCCAGCACCTTAAAGAGAAGGTGTTCAATAAGGGAGGGGAAGGAGAACTAGCTTCCTTCCCTGTGGAAGGGGCAGAAGGGGCAGCCTCCCAGCAATGGAGCCTCAGACGCCTGAGAGATGAGCTGGGTAAGGCCTGGAGAAGGGAAAGGATGGCCCAGGTCAACCCAGGAGCCACATGCCAAGGCCACGGGAAGGCCAGGTCACCAGCCTGGAAGGAGGCTGGACCCAGCCCAGAGGGAGCAGAGTCCCAGAAGCTCAATGGGAGTTCTGGCTGCTCCCCCTCTGCGGCCTCCCCCAGACAACACCCAGAACACAGCGCTACCGGCCCAGGGGGCTCGGGTCAGCATCCTGAGAACAGGCGAGGCTGCTTTGCCGCTGGGGAAACTGAGGCAAGAGTGGACATGTTTTCAGAGGCTCGCTGCAAGCCAGTAGTGAGTTGAAAGGGCTGAGGCCCAGGCACCTGTGAGCACACCGGCCCGGGGGGGGCACACGTTGACACAGGGCCAGGCCCCTCTGAGGGGACTAGGACGCATGCAGTCCAGAACCCCACCAGCCCAGGCTCACTCACTGAACCGGCCAGCCCCAAATGAATGGGGCAGAGGCCACAGGACCTGACCCCTCCAAATCCTCTGTGCAGGCCCCTCCCCCATGGAGGCAGGTTCTAAAAATGAGGAAGTAAAGCTTCTCTCCCAGGGTCTCCCTCTCCTGAACTGTCCCCGTTCCCACCCTGGGCATGTCAGTGTCCCAAGAACCTCTCTGGGTGGAACCTCTGAGCTCCAAGCCGGGCCTGGGCCCGCTGCCTCTCAGGCCTCTCGCCCTCCCAAGATGGTCCCTCCGTGCTAGAGCACGTGCCCAGGACGGGCCTGGGCCAGCCTCAGGATGCACCCTCCGCAGGCTCTCTTTGAGAAGCTTCTGGGGCTAAACCCGGCCCCGCCTCTCCCTGCGACGGCTCGCACGGGGCTCAGACCCTACCCCACCTCCTTGCTGCCAAATCTCCAACCAGCTGGGGTCCAGCTAACGGTGCGCCCCCAACCCTCGGCCCTTCTCTCCTTCCCGTGTTCCCTCCCCTCCAGTGCTGCTGCTCCTCCTCCTCCTCACAGCGGCAGGAGTTAGGGATGCTGTGCTCCCCGCAGTCTCTGCCAGAGCCCGAGCTGAGGACGCCACAGCCCCGCCGGTAGCCCCGGCTGACTTCCCCAGCACCCCTGAGAGCACGGACCCTTCAGAGCTTGGGAGCCGGCCCCACCGGCCCAGGAGGCCCCGCCCTGCCGGCCCTCCAAACCGTCAAGCAAAAGGCAAAGTCAACAAAGGGGCGCCGTGGGGGGAGGAGCCGCATCTGGGAACAGAGACGCCGGTCCGCCCGGGCCAAGAGTCTGGGTCCTGTAGCCCCCTCCCGCGCCAGTCAGCCAGCTGGTCTTGGGCAGGAGCCGCTCAGCCTGGGGATGTCCAGCGCCCCCACATTCCACGGCCGCACCCCAAGTCCATCCCGGGGAGGGGCAGGGCAGCGACAGAGCCCAAGCGCCAGCCGGGGGCCCCCTTTCCCACCCGGGCGCTCACGTCAAGGCAGTTTCCTCCTTTCTAAAGCCCAGACCCTCTCCAGACTCCCGGGACCACCAAGAAGGGTTCTTCTGCACAGGGTCGGGGGTCTTGGGGAGGAAGGGAGCCTGGATGCCCTCCCCAGGCCGGCCGGCCGTCGGAGGGGTCAGACGTGCGTCTCAGGGCGGCCCAGCCGCGAAGGGCGACCGCCCACGGGCACTTCCGACGCTGCCAAATGCCTCCACTGGCTGGAAGCCA